GACGGCACATAACAACAACAACAACAATTACTGCCTTCAGTGACACTGATGTGTTAAATGTGATAATGGTTACCCATGGTGGACAGGGTTTGGTGGAGCTCCCTGGTTGAAACAAGCTTGAAGCAGAGTGGCATCCATTTCTGTAAATAGCTTGCCTCTGGAAACGCAATGAACCTGGAGAAAGGATGAAAGTCACCCATGCAAGTGTTGAGGAGTTTAGTTCAAAGGGCCACTATGAGTCTGAGTCACCTATGACTCAATGGCACTTAACAACAACAACAACAATATTACTGTCTTACTTCCTTCTGTGTATTTCTTATGCTGTGTCCTCTTTATGACTTCCTCCTAATTCAAATGCTGCTTTTTATACACTATTCACTTCACACTTTCTATAAAAATTTTTAAAATTAACATTTTTAAGCTTGATAAATAGTATTAGGAGTTAACTTTTAGAAGAAGAAACTAATGAACCATATTACTTGTCTAAGTTTAGCTCTCAGCTGCATGAACCAGATTATGAAACAGACTGTGGTTCTGCACAGATGTTTCCTATTTCTAACATTTAACGTTCTTGGGCTGAATAATATTATGATTGGTCGATTTATTTTAAAAATATATGTAAGCAACTTTCACATAACAGGCTTTTGTAAACCACTATGGAAAACATTTTTACACTTTTATATGCTAAACATAAGTCTTTCCCAGAAGTAAAACAGAACAAAATCCCAAACCAAGTGTTGTCCAGTCCATTTTTACTCATAACCTGCCCCATAAGGTTTCCAAAGCTGTTCAACCTTTAAGAAAACTAACTGCCATAGTTGATGAGTTTGAATCATTAATCTTTTGTTAGGCATCCCATTGTAGTAGAGGGTATAGTCCAATGGTGGTTCATTTTATAAAACACAATATACAGGAATGATTGTATTAAAGAATAATGTCAGTTCAAGAGAGTGGGGGAAAATCTGCATTATAAAAATGTAAATATGAAAAACAAACAAAAAGTAATAATGTTAACTTTCTGGGGTACACATTGCCAGAAACCTGCACACAAGGGAGGACAATATAATTACAAAAAAGGGGTTTTTTCCACCCTCATCTGCCTGTAATTAAATAGGCTTTCCATTCTTCTTGCCCCCAAAAAGAATTAAGTAACTTAAACAGTAATAAAATCTCAAAGGCAAGTAGTTCGAATCCCCCAGCTGCTCCATGGGAGAAGGATGATCAATCTCTTCCCATGTAATTAACTGGCTCTGAAAACCCACTGGAGGGTCAGCTATGGGTCTGTTCTGACTCAGTGGTACACAATAACAATACAGCAATGAGGAGCTCTGGTGGCTTAATGGTGAGAAGCTGCACTGGAATCTCAAAGGTACACAGCTGCTCTGTGAGAGAAGGATGAGCAACCAACTCACACACGTTATTGCCTTTGAAAACTCACTAGAGAGTCAGATATAAGTCAGTTCCAACTCTATGGCAAACAACAACATACAGCAATACCATAATTAAGGTAAGAATTATATTCCTAGACCATTCCACCACCACCAAATATTCCTTTATATGTGGTAGTCTGTGAGGAGATAATTTGCCTTAAATCTAGTTTCTGAGTTTCTGGGATGCTTCTAGGATGTAAATAGAACCCCTACACTCAACCCCTTTATCTTTTCAAATTCCATTGGCTACTTTACCAGATTCTTCCTCCACTCTGTATTCCATAAATTTGTGGTCTCTTTGCAATATTTCCAATGCTGGTTCTTTCAAAGACATCTCACAGGAGCAAGCTGCTCATTCAACAGAAAAGCCTATTCAGTAGCATGAGAAGGAAGTGAGAAAGTTAAATAGAGGCCAACTGGTTATGAAAGATAACACATGTAAGTAAGCCAATCAGCTTTAAAGGCAGAAGGAGAACAAGAAAAAAGAAAAAGGATCATGAATATTGCACTGGAATAGGTAAAGGAAAGGACACTCTGAAAGGAACAGGACAATTAAAAATCTGGAATAGGACAAGCATTACAAAGTGAAACAGGGAAAAGGGAAGGAGGAAAATTTGTATGGTTGAATAAATGAAATCCAATCTCTTTGTAAATTTTCATTTAAATTACAATGAAGAAAAAAAATCACAAGTTTGAGGGTTTCAGAATCCTCAATCTTCTGCTAATTGCAGAACAAACGTGACAGGAAAAGTTGAGAATAAAATGACAAGTTAAATTGCACACAGACTTTAAGATCAGGTAGCCCCTTTCCAGAAAGGAGGTTGTTTCATGGTAGTTGCCAAAGAATTGACTTTGAGATCTTATGAACAGCTTTGAACCTTGTCTTATTTTGTACCATCCTCACCATCTCTCATATGCTAGATCCCATTGTTACTGGCACTGTGTCAATCCATCTTGTTGAAGGTCTTCCTCTTTCTCTGACATTTCCCAGCATGATTGATGTCTTTCTCCAAGTACTAAAAGATTTGCTCCCTAATCCCAGCTGGGAGGTGATGTTGGAGACTAGAGCAGTGTCAGGCCAAGGCCGGCCTAAGGGCAATTTGCTTTCAGTTATGGTGGAGCTTTGGATAACTGTGGGATGCTCATTGACAAGTTGGAGATTCCAACACACCAGCCTCTGGAAAGAAAGTTAACGGTAGTCACTTTCCCACTGCCCTCAAGCAGGTTTTGACTTACAGTGACCCTCCTCACTCTACTGGCTGCCAAACCAAATGTAATTCTCATGGAAGGAAACTACTCATCTTCTCCTGCTGAGAGGTTTATGGATTCTTAGAATTCTTGGAATAATTTAATTTCAAGGCTGAAAATCTACTCAATTTCATTTCATACACATGAAGGAGACTATAACACTAACTGAGATCCAAGATTGACTCCTCATCTAAGTAAATTGCTGTCAACACAGCTACTCTTACATAACTCAGAAGTGAAATACTAGGTTCCCAGAAAGCACGTGTCTTCTGACTTCACTTATATATATGGCTTATTAAAAACACTCCAGTGAATTCTCTGTAGATGAAGCTGTAATAATTTTGGTTTCCACTGATGCATAATATGACACTAAATAATCCCTGACTTGTCTAAGGTTTGAGTGAGTTCTCCCCTCTGTCAAGGCTGATAGCTATAGATTGCTTTGCTATGTCCACAGTATAATAATAGAAGATAATTTTTACCCATGCATTTGTTTACTTTACCTTTGCCAAGAAGTAAATACAATTTTCAAAAGATTTATTTCACAACACAGGCACCATTTTTTATTCAGAATTGTTAAGAAAATACAAACAACAATGTGCAGAGACAAAATGAGAAGGCCAGGACTGGGCTGCATGAGCTATCTATGGAGATCAGAAGTGAGAGCCTAGGCTTGAAGGTATCATTCATATACAGAAAAGGGCAATGTTGTTAAACTTAAAAAATGACATTTTAAAACCCACAAAACTATGACTGGTTATGAGAAATACAGACATCAGTTTTAAGAGCATAAGTTCTTAGATTTGGAAATTAAAATAAACTAATTGTTTTTATATACAAGAAACACCAAAATAATCTTTAAATAAAACTATATCAAACCACTTCCTCCATAGAACTTAATTTATATTTATATAATTTGTCACTGTTTTTAGAAATGAAAGATACAAAATATTTTTTAATGCAAAAGAGCCATGGCACACAATAAAATGATCGTTTCAGGAGATAATCTCATTGTTTTCTGTAACACTTTATGAAAAATGCCTCAAGAAATAGCTCCAGTTTCCACCTCTGGCACCTGCAGCAAAAGAAGCTGCCGCCATGGCTGCCCTCTGCAAAGGATGGTCATGCATAACTGCTCCAGCCTCTTGATGAAGAGAAACAAGCAAGGCCGCTCTGGTGACCTAGTGGCAAGAAGCTGCGCTGCAACCTCAAAAATGCAAGTTTCAAACAAGCGGGAAACAAGCCCAATAACCTGAAAGTCCGCTCAATAACCTGAAAGCCCACAGCTCCTTCCGCTAAAATGGGCTGATCCACCACAAGACCGTGGGCGTGGAGCTGGACGACAAGGGCGTTGTGTTGGTGATGAAGCAGAGTTCAGGCCAGAGGAAGCCAGCTACCTCCTACCTGCAGACCACCATTCACAAGAATGCCTGAGCCACACTCAGCAGCATCCACCACATGATCCACAATAACAAGTATGGGCCGGACCTGAGCATGACCACCATCCGCAGGGCCAGGGCCGTCCTGCTCAGCCAAAAGAAGCCGGTGATGGGATGTGGAAGAGGAAGGGGACCCGCTCCACCAAGAGCCCCTGAGCCCCTGCTGCTCCAGCAATAAAGACAGCTTGTCTCCACCACAAAAAAAAAGAAAAAGAAAGAAATAGCTCCATATTCTGACTATTCCAGATGTACAAAGTAGCACATTTTATTTTACTAACAAAACAAAACAACAAATTTTTTTTCTACACAGATAGATAATACTAAATTTGTTCTATAGCTTAATTCCTTACCAATTTAAGTGGTCAGTTTTTGTCCTTTTCCATGTTAATTTGTATTTAATTTTTTAAAATGAGAAGCCTTATTTTTTGTGTCAATTAAAAAAAGAAATTGAAAAATGTCTACTCACTGCAGCATTATGGATTCATTTTTATTACTATGTCGTCAAGCCCTTCTCAATTGTAAATGATAATAACTTGAGTTTTGGGTTTTATTTTTTTAGGTATACAACATTTTATTTTATTTTATTTTATCTTAATGAAAGTCTACAAAGACTTAGGATTTCCATTCATTCACTGTTGCACTTTTCTCCCTGCCCACCCTCTCTCCCCAATTCACTCTTCTCTTTAAAAAGTAAAAGAAAAATTATTTCATTGTTATACAATCCCTTCACACTCCCCAAATCCACTCCACTGTGTATCCTTCATTCTGGACTCCTGTCATGACAGTAATACCTAATCATATATTCCTTTTAAATAGTTCTCTCCCTCATCTGTTTCAATGCAGTATACATTATTTCTCCCCTCTTTGCCAGTCTGTCCCCAACCCCGATGTCAGTCCTGTTTTACAACAGTGGCACTATGCAATATTTGTTCTTTTGTGACAGATATTTCACTCAGCAGGGTCACCCAGAGGTATGTTAGTCTATATTCTCTAGAGAAACAAAGCCCGTAACACACATACAAAAGTACACTTCAAGGAAATGAGTCACACAATTTGGATGGATAGTCCCAAATTCATGAGTCAAACAACAGGCTGAGGACACCTGCTAGCTCACATGGTTGCAGGGGCTGGCAAACCACAAACATGCAGATCTGGTGGTGGGCAAGGACTCTGCTGGCTCCCAGGGATTCAGGCCTTCTTGACTCCCAAAATTTTGGAGGTTGCTGAATCAAAAATCAGCAGATCAAAGGGAGTTATGGTAGCCTAGTGGCAAGAAGCTGCACTGCAATCCCAGAAGTACGCGGTTCGAATCCACCAGATGATCTGCTGGAGGAGCGGCAATCTCCTCCTGTACCGGTCAGATCTGATTTGACGGTACACACACAAAAAATAATAATAATAAAAAATAAAAATAATAAATAAAGATCAGCAGATCAGGTGGCAGATCAGATTTTTGCTGGTTTACACCTCAAGCACAGGAAGTTCTGCCATCACCGAGTAGAGCATAAAGAGCTAATGTGGCTTAAGAACATCCTTTTTATACATTAGTGACACGGCCACGACCCCACACACCTCCTTGCAATTGACTGACTGCAAAATTGAGCAAGATTCTATTAGAAGATGTCTGTCAAATTATAGAGACTCTTAACCTCACAAATTAATGCATTAATCATTGCAAGTAATAGCACAAATTTTTTCATTGAAAAATAACAATATCATATAACTAATTTTGTTGTTATGTGCCTTGTGTCAGAGCCAACCCATAGCTGACCTTCCAGTGGGTTTTCAGAAGCAGTAAGTTGCCCAGGATGAGATTGCCCATCTTTCTCTAGCGCAGAAGCTGGTGGATTTGAATTTCACGCCTTCACTGCGCAGCCCCTTTACCACTAGCATACCAGAGCTCTCCAGCTCTCTAATAGCTCTCTTATTAAGAAAAGTCTTTGTGGGACATGAGTGTTTGGTGATGATGTAAAATTGATCATGTTTCCTTTCTTGTTTTCAAATGCACTCAAATACTAACATCACCTGCAAATCGAGTGAATTCTTACGGCAACTCTGCAGGGCTGTGAACTCCTTCATAGGGTTTCCAAGGCTTTCTGGCTTTATGGAAGCAGAGTGCCACATTTTTCTCTAGCCAAACTACTGGTGAGTTCAAACCATCAATCTTTCAGCTCATTGCCCAGCACTCAGTCAGTGTCACAATCATTGTTTTTAGTGCCACAAAGTTGATTGTGACTCAAAGCAACTCTAAGAACAACAGATCTGAACTTGCCTTATCCGGTACCATTCTCAGCATCTCTGACACATGTAGCCCACTGTTACACTCACTGTGTCAATTCATCTCATGTAGGCCTTCTTCTCTTATGCTGACCCTCCTTTTTGCCTCCTTTCAAATTCCAGCATGCAGACATATAAGAATCTGAGTTCACAGCCTTGCATTTTTGCCATATTTGTGAGTAGTATCATCACAGTAAAAGTGACTACTTCCTTTCTTTGGACCTTCTCATGTGGTCCTCCTTTCCCCCTGACCTTATGCAGGGTCTGAGTCAGAGGGACCAGGGGTCAGGGGTCACTGGAGTCCTGACTGATTCGCCTTAACCCCTATATAGGAAGCTTTGTCTGCCATATGTTCCACAAATAAAATTTTCAAGAAAATCAGATGACATCCAGGATTTCTGCTTACCTGGTGAAGAGATGAAAATACTCCAACAAGTATGCAGCAAACAACTGTCTCCTTATAGCATAAGTGAAGAGCACCTGTTTTAGAATCAATACTTTGGCAAGGTACTTCTGAGTCTCTCACAGAATGATCAAAGTGGTTTAAGCCTCATCTTGGATCAGGCACAGGCATGGAAAGACATTCGACTGCATAAAGCAGGTGGTTGAGGTCCAAGATTCTGCAAAGGGCCATCCAAGAGCTATTTGTGAACTACTACGTGAACACTCAAGGCACAAATACAACTTCCGAAGACAAGAAGCTTCATGAGATCTCTGAACAGCAGAAACTGATGACTGAACTGATATGGTCTGTAGGTCCCAACCAGGAACAGAAGGTGTTTTCATTACTTGGACTAGAGAAAGGAGACCTGCTAGAGCTCAAGCTGCTTTCAGAGGCCAACTGACTGGAAGAGATCTATATTTATTCCCATTCCAAAACAGGTGACCATACAGAGTATGGAAATTATCGAACAATATCCAAATATCACACACCAGCAAGATCATGAAGATTATCCAAAAATGACTGGAACAGTATGCCAGCAGCGAACTGCCAGATGTGCAAGTTGGGCTTAGAAGAGGCCGTGGTAGTAGGGACATCATAGCAGATGTTAGATGGATCTTGGCTGAAAGCAGAGCGTGCCAAGGGAATATTTATCTGTGTTTCATTCATTATGCAATAGCATTAGACTGTGTGGATCACAGTCAGATCGATTACATATGTAGAAGGAATCATTGAAGAAGTTCAATATCAGCAGTAAAAAACGGGCCAAGTGCTGATTGTGGAAAAGACCAACTACTTACATGTAAGTTCAAACTAAAGCTAAAGAAGGTCAAATCATATCCACAGATCAAAATTTCATCTTGAGTCTATCCCCTCTGAATTTAAAAACCAAACTCAGGAACTGGTTTGAGGCCTTGAACTCTAATGAATGAAGATTAGATGAACTGTGGGAAGAGATCAAGAATATGATCCAGAAAGAATGGTCATTATAATGATGGAGGAAGAAGAAAAGACAAAAATGGATATCAGAAGAGGCTCTGAATATTGCACCAGAGCACTGAGAAACCAAGGCAAAGGGAAGAAGCAAGAAGATAAGCTGAATAGAAGATTTCAAAGGACAGCACGGGAAGACAAAGTATTATAATGAAATGTGCAAGGAGTTGGAGTTGGAAAATCAAAAGGGTTGAACTCACTCGATTTTCTTAAGCTGAAGGAACTAAAGAACAATTTCAAGCCACAAGTTGCAATACAGAATATTGAATGAGCTAGGAAGCATGAGTCAAGAAGATGGAAGAAATATATAGTCACTGTATCAAAAGGAATTGGCTGACAGAAGAATTTCAAGAAACAACATTTGATCAAGAGGTGATGAGGGAGGAAGTTCAGGCTGCTCTGAAGGACTTGGCAAAAAAATACAACCCCAAGAATTAATGGAATACTCAATTGGTATTGTCAATTGCATATTTCAACATGTACTCACCAGGTTGTGCCAAGAAATCTGGAGGACGACTACCTGGCCAACTGACTGGAAGAGATTCCTATTTATTCTCATTCCAAATGAAGGTGACCCAACAGAGTGTGGAAATTATTGAACAAGATCACTAATATCACATACAAGCAAAATTCTGCTGAAAATTATTCTGAAATGACTGGAAAAGTGCCTTGACATAACTACCAGAAATGCAAGCTGGGTTTAGGAATGGTCATGGTATTAGAGACATTATTGCCAATGTTCTGTGGATCTTGAAAGAGAGCAAAGAGTACCAGAGAAATGCAATCTGTGTTTCATTGGCTATTCAAAGGCATTTGATTGTGTGGATCACAACAAATTCTGGCTAACCTTAAGGAGAATGGGAATCCCAGATCACTTGATTGTGCTTATGTGAAACCTATACTTGGACTAGTAAGTAGTCCTCAGAACAGAGCAAGGAAACACTGCATGGTTCAAAATCAAGGAAGGAGTATGTCAGGGATGCATCCTGTCTATACCTTTTCAGTCTATATACAGAATAGATCATTCAGGAGGCTGGGCTTTCTTAAGAGAAATATGCATAATGAAAATGATAAAACCTTGCTTGTTGAAAATGAGGACCTGAAGTGCTTACTGCAGAAAGTCAATGACTATAGTCTTCAATATGGATTAAAGCTCAACATTAAGATGACAAAGATCCTCACTACTGGGCCAATCAGCAGCACCATGATAGATGGTGAAGAGATTAAGGTTGTTAACACTTCCAGCTTGCTCGGCTCCACAATCAACATTCTTGGCACCAGCAGTCAGGAAATTAAAAGATTAATCGCATTGGGAAAATCTGTTGTAAGCAACCTCTCCAGAGTACTCAAGAGCAACGATGTCAGTCTAGAGACTAAGATGTGCCTAATCCAGGCCCTGGGCTTCACAATTACTTGCTATGCATCAGAGAGCTGGACAATGATTAAGGATAACATAAGACCAGTTGATGCCTTCGAGTTGTGATTCTGGAGAAGAGACTTGACCATCCAATGGACTGCCAAGAAAAATCAGTCTGTCTTAGAGAGGGTGAAACCAAGTTTTACTTTGGAGGCAAAGATGTTGAAGCTCTGCTTCATCTACTTTGGGCACATGGCTGGGAGGGACTGGTCCTTGAAGAAGGATATCAAGCTCAGAATGGTGGAGGGACAGTGTAGGAGAGGAAAGCCCCAGATGAGATGGATTGCTACAGTAAGTGGGGCAATGGGGGTAGGAATGTCAGAGTCAGTGAGACTGGCTCAGGACAGAGCAGGGTTCAAAGCTGCTGTATATAGGATTGCTATGAGTCACAGGCGACTTGATGGCACCTAAAAACAACAACAAACTTAGACCAAAAAGCTATTGTCTAAATAGAACAAAGGAACACTACATGGTTTAAAATCAAGAAAAGCACGTGTCATGGTTGTATCATTTATCCATACTTATTTAATATGTATACTGAGCAAATCGATTGAGAAGCTGGATTGTATGAAGAAAAAGGTATCATCAGAATAGCAGGAAGACACACCAATAATCTGCATTATGCAGATGGCACAACCTTGCTCTTTGAAAGTGAGGAGGACTTGAGATACTTGCTGCAGAAGATCAAAGACTATAGCTTTCAACATGGATTACATCTCAACAGCAAAAACTCAAATATTCTCAGTAGTGGGCCAATAGGCAACACCATGCTTGATGGAAAATAAAACTGAAATTGGCAATGATTTTATCTTCCGTGAATCTACAATCAACATTTTTGGTATTACCAGTCAAAAAATCAAAGGACATTCTGTACTGGGAGTCTAC